GGTGAGCATTTCCTGACTGGCTGGGCAGTTCCAGCTGGTGGGGATGGCAGCAGTCACGCCGGGGGGTGCGGGGGGAGCCTGACCTCCACCAGTGCCCTTGGGGTTACTGTCGCTTGCTCTTGCTGCTGCCATCACCAAAGGGACATTGCACAATGATCAGATCTGGGAAACTCAGAGAGCCCTTCAGACTGCTGGCAGAGATTCATGGCTGAGAACTGAAAGCTCAGAGGTGAGGTTCTGGTTTTAAGTGAGTGCCCAGTTACTGACACAACCTGTCCCAGCAGAGTACTTGCCACCACGGGGGGACCAGCCAGCCCCAGGGAAGCACAGCCCCTGGGGAGAACCAGCCCCACTGTGGCCTCTCTTCAGTGCCCACCACTCCTCTCTGAAGCTGTGGGATATCTTCTTTGGCACACACCATTCCAGACAATAATCAAATCCTGCTGTAAACAAAGGTGTGGCAATGGCAGATAATCACTTTCCTTATTGTGCTTCCCCTCTCCCGTGTGTGTGCAGGGGACAAGAATAGAGGAGCCACTGACTGAAGAGTCTGTTCAGCCTGATCTGGGGTAAAAGTGCCAGCTGTCCCCAGCAGAGAGCGAGCAGGAGACCTGGGCCTTGGAGGTCTAAGACAGAGCAGTGTGATAATGGGTAAATAATTCCCTTTAAAGAGCATTCTCATGAAAATCATATGTAAAAGCAGTCTTAGTACAATACCAAAACCTCAGTAACTTTGTTATGGAATAATACAATCCCTCTTACAGACCTGCAAGTCATTATGTACGTGGCTACACAAAACCATGACTGCATCAACAAAATGAAATTGTTGGGCAAGACAGTTCCCAGTCTGTAAATGAGGCTTTTCAGCACTAGGCAAACAGAACCTTTCCCCCTATAACGTGAGGAGGAGCATTAACATTGCTGATTCCTGCTGCATCTCTTACTTTGAAGGTTATCACAATTAACCTTGGACATCACAGGACCAAAAAAAAACTATATATATATGTGTGAGCTGCATCACACAGTAAAAATTGTAAAAATGTTTTGATTCCTCTTACATTCTGCACTTCCTTGACCTTATTGGAGATGAGAAATCCCTGTAACTCTGTGTGTGCCCCAGTTTGTCAGAAATAGCTCTTTGTAATCTAAACCCTCTTGGTGTCTAATAATGAGTTAGGCTATAGCCTCATAAAATTTTAGATGGAAGTTTTGGCTGGGTCACTTTGATGTGGGGAGATGTAATTTTTGTCAGAAGTGCCTCTTTGAAGTTATCTGAACCAACAGATGCACCGTGAACCTCGGAGGAGGACACAAACCTCCTCTCTGAACCCAGCCCAGCTTCTGGGTGCACAGGGGAAGGAGGTAAAGGTCACCCAGCTAAAACCACCCCCTGAACAGTCTGAGGGCAGCAACGGTGTCATAAAAATATTTTCAATAATCTGTCTCCTGAATTAAGTGTTCAACTTTTACAAGTTAATACTATCAAACAGAACAGTAAAATTGAGCTACAGATCTGTTAATGACCCTGGAAACCCAGGACCTGTGCTGATGGTATTTTCAGCCTATTACATTACCAGCAATTCTTTCAATTTCTAGCTTCTAAAAAAAGAACTCTGCCTCTTTTAGGGGCACGAGAAAATGATGGTTTTGTCTTTTCAACTCCCATCCTGCAATCTGATGAATAACATAATTGTTTACCTGGATCCTTCTTTAAGGAAGATTGTTTTTGGAAAAGGACAATATGACAGGGACAAGAGAGGTGAGAGGAGCAGTTCAGGCTTTGTGCTGCCCACACCTGCCCCGTGGCCAGCAGTGTGCCCTGTCCATGGGCGATGCTGGCCAGGGGAAGGGCATTTTTATCAGTGATTTTTAACTGTTTAACAGCTGCAGGCTCAAACTTTGTCAGTGGCACAAAGCAGATCCTGGCCCGACGCCAGACAGGCCCCTGACAAGGGAAAGGTCGTGCCTCTGTGCAGGGGTAGCAGCTTCTCTACACCTACCAGCTTCTCTTCCTGGCTCTTTTCCTAACTTCCCTCTATTCCTGACGTAATGCCAGCATTCAGGTACCACCACTAGTGACAGATACCTGGTGATTTGGGGGAGGGATCTCATGACATCTCCTGTGCCAGCAGAGCCCCTGCCTCACACCAGGTCACAGCTTGCACCTCTTCTACCCACACCAGCCCTGACCAAAGCCTGGTGGGGCTCCTGATCCTGGGAGTCCTTCCTGTGGAGCCAGGGTGTATCCAGGGCACACAGCTGGACCTCAGAGATATTATTTAGACATTAGCTCTGTGAAACTGCAGCTCCTGTCCATGTTCTGCACAGAAAGCAGATACGACATGGAGCTTACTCTGGGACAGGACAAGGGGGATGGTTTAAACTGAAAGAGGGAGATTTAGACCAGAGAGAAGGAAGAAATGTTTGACACTGAGGGTGGTGACCCCTGCCCCAGGCTGCCCAGAGAGGTGGTCACTGCCCCATCCCTGGAACCATCCCAGGGGAGGTTGGACACAACTCTGAGCACCCTGCTCTAGCTGGGGATGTCCCTGCTCCCTGCAGGGGTTGGACTCAATGACAGTGAAAGGTCCCTTCCCACCCAAACATTCTATGGCTCTATGACAACACCTCCCACTTGAGCCACAGGACTCCTTTCAGCAGCTTGCACACACCCTGGCTCTTCTCTCCCCACCTTCCATCCCCTCCCTGCCAGGCCCAACCCCAGCAGGCAGCAGCCAGGTCTCCAAGGGCACGCTGGGGCTCAGGGACAGGAATCTCAAGGCACTGCAGCCTCCCCCTCCTGTAACTTCACTGCTGTTTGTGGCATTTGGAGATCGATTTTCAAAGTCTTGGCTGCTGCTGCCACCGCCCCGAGCCGGGTCCCACAGCAGGTGAGAGATGCTCACTCACTTCACTGCTTTAGTGCTTAACCTCACAGAAACTTCCCCCTTTCCACAGGAGTTCGTGCCTCACCACCACTACTCCAAAAACATCTTACTGGTGTAATTCTTTTCACTTTATAGAAGTTTAAAAATACAAGTAAAGGTCATATGCTAATTTGACATTTCAAAATCATACTCAAACCTGAAGCTTCATAAAAGTAAGTTTGATTATGACACTTGATGTACTCTACATATAGAGGCAGCTTAAAATTACTTCTCACTGCTTTACGAACTGAGGTTTTTTTGCAGTGAGACAATTTCAGAAGGCCTTAAATAGTGAACACCTAGCTGAAGAATTTTATCGTTGTCCTGCTAAAATGACAGCAGATGCTCCAACTCAAATGCCTTCTGAAAATTCTTCAGCAGTTCTCACTTCACCAAACTGCCACAAAAACTTGAAAAAAAAAAAAACTTCTCTTTTGTCAGTGCTGTTACTAAAATACACACTTCACCTATTTTCCCTTTGAATATCTGATTTTTACCACACCAAAGCAGAAAATCTCTGTAAAAATGGAGGGAAACCCCATCACTCCTCAGGAACGCTGCAGATGTGCAGAACACCTGGGCTGCTGCTCACCACATTCACCCAAGGTCTCGTCAGACCCCACACTCCTGCAGCCTTGTCTTCTCCCATGTGCTTTCATTTCTCCCCAGGTGTGCAGGCTCTTCAGAGCAGGTCTTCTTTTCCATACAAGGCTTGACACGACAGAGGGGATCCTTCCTCCCCAAAAGTAACAGAGCAATTGATGTTGACAATATTACTCTTTTATAAAAGGAATCTGGAACTGGAATTGCCCTTTTATATTAGCTGGCTCCACACATCACTGATTTTTATTTATTTATTTTAGTCACTGACTTCTTGCTGTGTGATTTTATTTAGTGTTTTGTCTGTTAACTACTTTCACTGTTATATTATTTACTTACTTTGAGTATATGTTTAACTGTTAGAAGAGGAGAAAAAAACCCAAACACCTTTTTCCTTGTGTTCTGAATTCCACTGCTCCAACAGGCAAACCACGAAGTTGAACAGTAAAACAGAAACCAAGTCTGCAAATAAGACACTGACAAGTTTTAGTTCTTATTTTTATTACAAAAATCATTAAAAAATAACCTGTTAACATTTAAAGTTAAATTTAAAAACCTGCCAGCTCAGCAGAGGGGAAATGGATGTAAAGGAGGAATACAACATGGTACGTTCCTGACTGTGGACAGCCAGGGCTCAGGAGCTCCCCACCAGGAAAATTGGCTTGTCCAGCAGCTCTGCATCTGCTGCTGCAGATGAGGAAGTGGCAGAAGCTTCATTAAGTCTCCTTTTTTTTCAGTTTTTCAAAGCAAATATAAGGGCAGCAAAGTGTACAATTCTTAAAGGGAAAAAAAAAAGCCAGAACATTTTTATGCTAGCTGAAAACCAGCTCACTGCTGTGGCTTCTCATGTTCCAAGGACATGAGGAAAGAGAACTGTTAAAATCCTTATAACCTGTTAAACCTAGCACCTCCCTGTGCAGCACCTGCAAGGTGCTGAGCACGCTCACTCATGGCTTGTTCACAGAACTGACCCCACACAGAGGAGGCTGGAACTGCTGAGCCTGTCCCAGGTGTAACTCCACACAGAGCCTGGTCAGGCCCCATTTCACCAACCAGTCAACACAAGCACTGCTCCTTTTACTTCCTGTGAGGTAGACAGACACGTAGGAGGATGCACTGCCTCCAGCATTATTTTAGTGCAAAATCCAGTGTTTTGCAAAATCCAATCTTCTTTAAGGAAAAATATGTAATTCAGGACTGTTTTCTTCCATCACCACTCTCTAAGAAGAATCCTTTGTCATTCCTGGAAAGCCATGCACCTCGAGCTGCAGCACTGGCAATGCTCAGGTCTGACAGCTGCAGTGGGAATACTTCAAAATACCTTTTTCTTTGAGCTCTGAAAGACACAGGGGTGGGTTCCACTCTCACATCAGCATCTAGACATCCCACGATCACCCAGGGGAAGGTCCAGCTTGTGCAGATGGAGACACATCAAGCAGAGCAGAACTGCAGCAGGAAGCCACAAGACCCAGCTCAGCTTTCCTCCTGCAGCAGAGTGAAATAGTCCATGTGCTGAAACTTCAGGACCTCGTTGCCCCAGCTGGTCCAGCCAGGCTGTAGGTTGCGAGCAAACAGCTCCAAGCACTCTGCATCTGGCTGGATAAACTCTGCCAGGACTGCTGTGCCAGGGGAGAAAGAGAACACCAGTGACAAAGGTACAAACAGCAACAGCAGACAAACCAACCCTCCTCTGCTGCCAGTGGATGGGAACCTGAAAGTTTCATTAAAAAAAGGGAGAGACAGCAAATTAATTTCAGGGGTTTCATCAAACAGCTGGACTATTTATAGTGAGAAAGTCATTTTAAGTAAGTGCCCTTGAGATTCTGAACAATACTGTCAAGGCCTTCAATAGCCTTGATTTATTGGTTTTCATTTAGAGAGAGGAAAAGAGGATTTACTTCAGCCTCTACACAGATGAGTTCTGAATTTTTCACTAATATCAACCAAACACCTCCTAAAGACTCACTTAGCTCTCCTAACACAGGGGCAACACTTAAATAAATCCTCTCCTTAATTAAGATCACACTCTCTTCCTCCACAACTTAAGGGGGTAAAAGCATTTTGTTTGATGACAACTGTTAAAAGACAAAATAAGTAACACCAGTTAACTAAGCATAGCACCAAAAGGGCTACACACATGTAAGGAATTCTTTTTCCCCAGTACCAACCTGGCAACTGAAGCAGCATTTGTACAACTGTGTTCCTTCATTCAGTGACATAACTCTCAAATTTCATCTACAGTTGGGCATTTTTACTGCTCAATTCCAAATACAAGATGCACCATTAACACCAGTTGTGTCACTGATTATGACTGGGAATCTGGAGCAGGAGACACAGATCTTGTGTTCCACCTGAGAGAGTTGGTGCAAACAGCTGAGGGTCAAACCTGCAGCCCCTCATGCAGAGCCACCCAGGCTGTGGCTGGGTCAAAAACTCTCAACCAACCTTCAGGGAACAGCTACCAAGTTACTCCATAGAAAACTATGCATGAGAAAAGCAAAGGTTTAAGGAGTGCCCAAAACAAAGGGAGCAGAATGACTGGCAGATAAATCTCTACTAAAAATTCAGTTTTTATTTTCATTACCAAGGACAAAAAACAACCCTGTGAAACCATTTCCCTTTCCAAAGGTGCCTTGGTGGGTTTTGATCAGACCTCCCAGCAGTCTCTGAATTTCTGCAGTTTAAAAGTGCAGCTTATGGATCCAACACTGTTCCCAAGTTGTGACTCCTTGCACCAGGTTTGGCAGCCAGAGCCCCCTGTGTGAGCCCCCAGCTCATCTTCTCATGGGCTGCTCCCCTTGCAGAGAGATGAGCACCCACCTCACCTGCCAGTGAGCACCACCCAACCCCAGACACATCCCCCACCTGCACCACCACCTCTTCCAAAGCTTCAAACCCTTCAAAACCTTCTGGTACCTATTTTGTAGTTGGCGTTTCCAGACTTCATCTTTTGGCATGCCATAAAAATTCTCTTTCTCTTCTTCTCCTTCCCTCAATCTTTAACAAATGTCAAAGGAATGTCTCAGCTGGGTTATCATCAAGGCAGTTTTTAATCTAAAAAATACTGCTACCAGCAGGATTCTCATTCTGAAACCCTGCTCCTTTTAGAGGCAAGCCAAAATGTTTAAAGAAATCTAACATTTGCAGAGAAGAGTCTGAGAGGTTTGGAGGAAAATGGTACATTCTGACAGGAAACGTGCTGCAGTGAACACTGCTGGTACCATGGGAGTTCAGCTAATTAGACACCACTTCTGAGTAGCTGCTTTTACACCATTTTGCAAGCCTAACACATTAAATAAAAATGCAGTAAAATTTATTGTTCTTTTCCCATGCTCTATTTACTTAAGGATTTCTTGTGCACAGTTTGCTGCCGAGCTGCCCTGAGGGCTGGAGCAGCTCTCCTGTGGGGGCTGGGGTTGTTCAGCCTGGGGAGCAGGGTCCAGGGACACCTCTCTGGCACTGCTTTCAGTGAGCACTGTGAGCAGATCCTGGTGTCTGAAGGGTAGTGGGCTTTTTATCCTAACAAGCATAAGATCAGGCAGAACTTACTGCAGAGTCAGGCTTCATATGACCTCCCCTCTCCCATGTAAAAAGAAAACAGAATCATTTTATGCTTTATATAGGCTGCTAAGTAGAGGAAGCCATTACTCAGGTGACAAAATTTCAATAAGAGCACATTAGTAATGTTGACATTTGTTCTTAAAATGTACAGACTAAAAATATCATCCCAGCACTAAGTCCAGTAATCAAAAGCAGTTTTACCAAGCACCAAAAACTTCTACCCCTAAGACAACAAACTTTAAAAGTCCACTTAGGAGACTCAACCCATCTCAAAGATTGGCTGGCCAGAAAGCCAGAGAGAGGCAGCCAAAGAAAGGGTCAGTTCAGCAGAAGCAGGCAGCCTGTGCCAGTCTTTAGATCCACTTGGTTACAGAATTTTAAAAGGCAGTCCCAGGAATCTCCCCCTCTCCTGCTGCCAGAGAGAGGGTCTTTATTTTAAAGCCAGAGGTGTTTTTAAAAAATGGAGACAGGTGACACATAATTCATGATCACATTACAGTGTGATTTTTCACTGCTAGGTTGTACAACTATTTACATAATCACATCAGGCAGTAACCTGCTCTGCAATGGAAATTACCATATCAAGAGGGCAATAATGTGGCTGCATTTGGCTGGCACAAAAATCTCATTACGCTGGTTTCCTTACAGTAAGAAAAGTCAGTGCTCAAGTCACAAGTTAGAACTTCTTGGTTAGGCTTTTACATCACCAGGAGGCTACCTTAACACACACTGACCTGCCCTGCAGTCCTTCAGAAAATGCTGGGGGTTTCCCCTCCAGGTTAGAGGATCTACAGCAGTAGAAAGATTAAATATTAAGGTTTTCTACCATAGGAATAGATTTAACAAAAAACCCCAAACCTAACACACAATTATTTCTACTCACTAACAGACACCACTGACAATAAAGAGCTTAAATAGCTGATACACAGATTATTCTTTATCACTTGCAGGTGCCATAAACTCGATGACAGCAGCTCAGGCACCTCTACCTGGGCATCTGAGGCCCGAGGACACAGGGCTCACACAAAGCTGGCTGGCTGACAATGCTGCTCCTCCAGGAGACCAGGCTCCTTCTGAGGGACAGCTCAGCAGGACCTGCCATACCTCTGATCTTCATCCCAGGCACAGACTGTGGATGTTTAAATAAGCAACAGAATGAATCATTTTTTAAACAGGCAACAGTTTCCCCTTGTCTGCTGAGCTTCCACTGCCTGAACAGCAAGTTCTGCATGGCAAACTGGAGACACCAAGTGAGAGCAACTGCTGGCTGCTGCCCCTGACCTGGGGAGCACAATGCACACCACTGAGCTCACCAGGCAGTGACCCCTCAGCAGGGTCTGCAAGGCAGAGGGGTCCTCACTGCCCAAGTCTGGCTAATCCCTGTACAGAGTGGGACTGGAAGAGCACCCCAAACTCAGCACAGAGCTGTGCAGCACAGCTCCACAGCCTTCTGCAGCTCCCAGTCACACACAGCAGCTGATGCACCATGGATGAGCCTCTGGCAGCAAGGGCTCACAGGGCACAGGAGGAAACAAGAGGCATTGACTTTTGACTTCCCAGGACACCTTTTAACACAGCCCAGCAAGGCAGGGCTGGTACCAGCAGAGGGGCTCCCAAGGCCTGCTGGAGAGGTGCAGAGCAGCTACAGCACAGCCAAGAATGAATCCCAAAGGCCTGGGGCTTGGGGCACACCCCACACAACAGCACTATTTCCTGACAATAAACACTCACACCTAAAAGCTGGAGGAGAAATGGCCATAACAAGAATCCACAGAACAGGAAAGGAAAAAAGGTGCCTGAAGTTCTGCACTACTCCACGTGGCCTGTGCAGCAGAACACCTCCTGTGTCTGAGAGCAACACTGAACTGAATCAGGGAGAAAACCTGCTGTTATTTGAACCAAAACCTGGAGTAATAAAACTTCATTTTAACAGATTTGCATAAAGAAGCTTAAGTACATTTCCAATGACATATTAAAGTTTTAAGCACTGAACACAGCACATGCATCACCCCAAGCCCCTGCAGTCCCAATTTCATGGTTAAATGCCCTGTAGAAACCTAAACATCTCTTTTTGATGGCTTACTTTAATTTACATCTTTGTCTTCCCCCAGAGAGATAAACTGCTATAATCAGTCATGAAGTGGCTACATATGTACCACCACACAATTTTATAGCAATAATAAGAAATACAGTGCCAGAGAGCATCAGTAAATAGTAATATTTTGGCTTTGTTACCACTTACACAAAGCATAAGGAATGTGTGTGACTCACAGAGCACCCCTCTCCCCCACTGCCAAACCCCTGCTTCTGCTCCAGCCCCTCCTGAACCACTCCAGGGCAGAGCCCAGCTGCTCTCTGCTGACCACTTGAGAACTCTGTCCCCACAGGAAAGCAATGCCCTTTCACACCCCTGGAGCCAAAGCCTCAGCAATCCCCTTTTGCCTTAATGCTCTACCTTTTTCATTCCATGGCCACATTCTGCATGGAGCTGCCAGAACTGCAGGATATAGGTGGATTTTTATAAAAGCTTCACAAGTCACTGATACTGTTCAACAGCAAATTCTTTTTTCACATAGAAGCATCAATGCTGCACAGTGGTATCAAATCCCAGCATCCACATGAAGTCTCAAGAAATGCACAAATCAGCACAGACTCTTTCAAACCCATCCAGGGTCACCAGTGAGTAAAGGAGTCCCCTCTAGGCCTTCTAGGTTCTCCCTACAACAGACTTGTTCCCAGGACCATTCTGGCACCAGAGCTCTCTACACTACCCACACCTGCTGGTTTGCACCCCTGGATGCCCCACAGGTTCCCTGTTTGTGCCTGCACGTGCTGCCTGGTGCTGGTTTTCTGGAGAGAGCCCTGGTGGCTGCCTCACAAATCCCTGCCATGAACCCTGCCACTCACTAACCCAGATCAGCACAGGTACTTCCTGCTCTAGCCCCAGATCCTGACAGTGGGGCTGCAGAACTGCCAAAAGAACTCCTCAAGTTGCCTTTGTTTTTAGCTAACCAAACTATGTGTCTTCTACTAGTTTTTGAACAGGTACAGGTAGGTATGTTAATAAATCCAGATCTGAGAGTCTCCCTGCACGTGTCAGAGCTGCCCAGATCACTCCCTGGCTGACACTGGCCTGTGCCCCAGGAGCAGAGGCAGGGCAGCCTGTTAGTGAGGCAGGCAGTGATGCCTCCCCCTCCTCCCCTCCCCTCCCCAGCAGGGCCACACGTTTCCTCCCCCAGCCCCTTCTGCTGAGATTACACAGCACCACGTGTGGACCTGGAACATCCTCACATCCATCACGAGCCTTCCCCTGGGGGAGCACAAAGCCATTTTGTGAGAGGTATGACATATCTCCCTGACTGCAGCTTTGCAGGGCACTCAGGTGCTGGAATGATGGAAGCAGCACAACTTCCTATTGATTTCTCTTCTCTGTTGAGATGGGAGTGCTCCAGAACAACGTGCAGAAGGTAGCACACCACATGGAGGTCCTCAGAGCCTTTGGAACAGTTGAATTCATGCCCGTGCTAACTGGCTGGAGTTACTGCAGCAACTGCAGCAAATTAAACACAGCTCCCCAGAACTAAGCAGGGCATGCCTTATTTGTTGCCTGTTGTTAACAGTTTAAAAATAATTAAGTTTTTAAGATTTAGAGGCACAACTGCAGGTGTCTATGCAACTCCTGCAGAAGTACAGACATTTCTGTCAGCATGACAGAGTAAAGATGTTTCTGCATCTATTAACTAAGGCTAGAGATGGCCTGTTTTATATCTGCCCAGAGTTCCTGGCCTCCCCTCCAGGTACTTTTGGTCACCTGGCACAACTTCATCCACGCAGGATCTGCAAACTCTTCCTACAGCATTTAAAAATAAATTTAAGAAATGCAACCTTTGGGTTTTGGGATTTTTTTGCATGTCTACACAAAACATACAGACAACAACAACTCTTGAAGTTCTGCTTTTCATTTGGAGAGACCAAGGTGCCTGATGACATTTTCAGTAATGTTGAGGAACCACAAGTCCTGTGGAGCAGAGCTGCTTGACTCCTGGGAAACTGAGGCACTCCCTGCACACAGGTACCTCCTTCCAGGTACACCTCAGACACCCAAATCCAACACCCTACAGAAACACCCAACAAAACACAACATACCTGCAAGAGGAGGTTTGTGTGAGTGCAGGCTGCAGGGCACACTGACAATGAGCTGGTGTTCTGGAATTGGAACTGCATCCTCAGATTTCCTGTCAGACAAATCAGAATGAGGAGAGAAGTGTGAGGATGAACACCAGCAAACGTGACACTGCAGCTCCCAGGAGCCACTCCAGAGGGGAGCTAAAGCAATTTTCACTCACAGTCAAACCTGAGGGAAGTCTAAGGGATGCCAAATGTTGCTCAGCCATAACATCTAACAGGGAGTTTATTAAATCACTGAGGCTTTAGATGTTGCTACCAACAGCCATCCAAAGCCATGGAGGACAAAATGCAGCCCTGCAGGTTGTTCTCACGTGTGGAGAAACACCAGCACACCCGAGATGGCATGGGCATGTGCCCAGGACTGGGGCCCTAAAGGACCTGTCAGCAAAGGGAGCCCTGTCCACAGGGCCTTCACCTGAGCCAGGTGCCAGCACAGGCAGACAGGGGAACAGCCCAAGGCTCCCACCCTTCCACCTCACTGCAGCACTCCCTCACCCCAAAGCCAACACGGGTATTTTTAGGTCCATTATCAGCCAAAAGATGACGCCAAGAGACCATTTTGGGACATTGTGTTGTACTGGGAGCAAGTGATATGTACAAAGAGAACCCCAGCAGCCTCAGAAAAGACACTGACCACAAATAGCCTGGCATACCTTACAGCTTCCTTCACATCTCCTTGAACTCTCCCCAGCACAAGAACTTCATAAGGCTTTTTGTGCAAAGAATCCAAAGGAAACACAAATTCTCCAGCTCTGGTAATCTGATACAGAAGAGTTAAAAACACACAGGGGAAGATTTTCATAGCCCATTTTTCTGAGGCATTTTGTTTGATAAAAAGGAAGATCGTGATGATACCACACCTCTCAAACACACTAGCACAGGGCAGTAAATACACAGTGTGCAAGCATATAAAGTGTCACAGCATGAGCCCTCCCAGCCTCCAAGAAGCCAACAGAAGAACTTACTTTGACCCAGTGCCACTCAGCCAGTGTTTCCACAGACCAGTGAGGATAAAGCTCATCCTTAACAAAACGTAAGTGCTTCTGTCTGTTAGTCACCCAGGTGGCCACCAGGCAGCCAGGGGCAGCCAGTGCTGGCACAGGAACCTGCTTCACCTGCCACGCAGGCAAGTGCCCGTACCTGCACCAACACAGGGAGACAGCACATGAACATGTAGCCAACAAAACAAACCGAGCAGCCGAGGCACTTCAGGAGCCATCTCCTGGCAGCACGAGTCAGAGACAGACCGAGGCTGACACCCAGTGGCCACATCTGACGGAGTCAGAGACTCATCCACCTACACACTGAAGTTCTACTGAGCAGAACCTGTAACTACATAGTTCTCCTTCTCTCCAAATAAAGTATTATGAGCTGTGGTCCTGAAGAATTCTAAAAGCCCACGTTTCATTTCTGAACTACCATTTGCAATGCATTGCTCCCATCTTTATGCCAGAAGAAAGCTATTTGGTGAAGAGCAGCTCTTTGGTCAAACATTATTCACTTTTCCCAGTAAGCAACCTCTCTTCTGAACAAAAATGGCAAGTGAGTCATCCCCAAGGGCAACACTAATTTGACTGGTGAGTTAAAAGGTCATAAAAGAGTAATCACTTCTCCAATTATTTGCAGAAGGCATTCAGTGTTTTTAAGCCACCATTCCTGGGAAGAGTTCTCCAGGTTACTTGAACAGCTCTGCACATTCCTGAGCTGTCTGCCAGGAGGGTGAGCACAGAACACTGCCCACACCCTGCCTGCCAGAGGCTTAAACACTGGCCACCACCAAGGCAGCTAACAGCAGTGGCAGCTCCTCCACCTTCAGCCTCTGTTTTGTAAGGCAGTGAGGCCAACTCCTGCCCCTGGGTAGCCAATTCACTCCTGCTGGCTCCTTCCTGCTCTTGGATAACTACAGGTCTCCTTTGAGAAACTTCCACTGTTAGAAAGACACCTGAATGAGTTCAACTAAGTTTCTGCAAGTTTCTGTAGGGCTCTCAAAGCAAAACCTACTAATCATTCTACACATCTTCAAATTGCATCTTCATAACAAGCTTCCAAGGATACAGCACACACGATTCCAGAAAGCTGCAAGGCTGTAGTTTGTTTCTGGCACATGGATACAGCTCTGTGGCAATCACTGGCACAAGCCTGATGTCACTCAGTGGAAAGGGAAGCCCATAAAACTGTAAGTTAATGACTTCATAAACCAGAGTGCTCAGAGAGTTCCTGCTGCACCTGAGGATTTTACTGCTGCATTGCCACTTCCTCTCATGTACTCATCAGACTGAGGCTCAAACTGCAGCTCAAGTTTGAAGAAGAAACAAAACCCTGAAGTTTCTAACCAAGACTCAGTCCTGGAAATACACATGTGCCCATGGAAGTGACCTCACTGATTTCCAGTGAACACCTGCATGATCTGGGCCTCACAGACCAGTGGACTCCAGGCTTTCCTTGCAGGTCTCAAGGACTAACATCCCCTCAGCAGTGAGGTGATTTGAGATCTCCTTCAGCACATACTTTGTACTCAAAGCATCCAAGCCACTTCTGTGAGATCCCTGAGGCACTTCATAGACTTGAAGGTATACAGTGCCAAAATATCTGCTAGCATGTAACTGTGACTCTGTAGGTTGTGGGTCTTGGACTGCATCAGTCTATTACCCTTTGTAAGCCAAGGCAACAAAGTTTGCTTTTACTGCAAAATGTACCTGTTACTCCTTTTAACAGACTTGTTCTCCCAGGGTGGGTCAATCACAATTACATCATATTTCTTCTTGTCTGGAAAGTGGAATCAAAAAAAAGGCAGTAAATGAGTTTTAAAATAAAGCTGCTAGTTAAAGCTGATGAAGGTTTAGCTGCCCACCTAGAGAACATCTGCAGAGCCAGCTATGCAGCAGAGCCACGGCTGCCTCCTGTCCTCTCTAAAGCAGTGGAAAGGTTTCCAGCATGCCTGTTTGAATTCAACCACACAGAGACATCTTCAGGCTGACTACCCAAGGAAGGGACGTTCACATGAGGTGTGTCAGACCCCTCCAAGGAGTTTGGAACAGCTGGGGGACTCGGGGAAGAGAAGGGACAGCAGAGTGCCCGTGTCAGACGAGCCCCTCTCGGGGTTTCCAGACAGAAGTGATGCCCTCAGGCTCCCAGCCCAGGGACAGCCTGCACCCTCTGTGCCAGAGCCCACCCTGCCCTGCCAGCAGCCCAGCTGGGGCACAGAGCTCAGAGCAGCCTGGAAACCTGTGTCCTGCACTGCTGGAGGGGAAGGGAGACACTGCCTGCCCAGCCTGGGGAGTGGAGACTAAGGGACAAGAGACCTGCAAGAGCTCTCATGGGAGAAGCTGGGTTTGCTCAGCTGGAGGACAGAAGATACCAGAGACACCCAGGAAAAAACAGCACTCTCTAGTTTTATTTTTTCCTACAGAACACATGTTCATTTTGTTTGATGCTAATTATTTAAATAGCTAATAAGAACAACAGCTTCATATGTACTGCCTGTTAAATATGCCTTCTACATCTTACTCCTTCATTAACATTGGAGGTGTCATCCTGACAGTGGGCTGACCAGCAGAAATCCTTCCCTTTCACTGGCCAAGAGAGGAGAAGAAGAAATAAAATGGACAGGAGACTTACTCAAAAAAAAGTCATGGTACTATACTGACATTAACTGTTCCTGGGACTGCTCTCTGACCATCCAAACTTGCTGTATGCACAGGGACAGATCTGCCTTCTCCATACAGCTCAAAACAGGCAATGGGATGAACTCTGGACTTCAAACATAACATTATTATTTGGCTAAGACTCCACCTCTTGACTGTTTTCTTAGTGAAAAAAAAAATACAAATTATAAATCAGTGAAACTCTAAGTTACGTTTCCTCCCTTGTAACACACAACTCACAAGCCCCAAGTTCCTGACTAGGGGTAGAGCAGCAATCCCCAGCTCGTGCTGGCAGGCAAGATCTTTCCTGGAAGACTGTCTGATGAACCTTTGCTGCTGCTGCTAACAGGAATGACAGAGGTCAAACTGAAAGCTAAAGGAAAGGCCAAGCAGAGTGAAGACTGAGATGCTGCCAGCTGAAAGGTCTCTGCATGGCCCATGAAGGCTGGGGATGCTGGCTTGGGTGGCTTTTGATTTGCTCTGACAGAGGAGCTGTTCTAACACCCCAGCCCTTCCCTGGGCAGCAGCCTCCCAGAGCATCATCTCCTCTGGAGGACACTGGGGCTGGTTTCACCATCACTCTTTGTCCACCTAAACAGACCCTGCTGCTGAAGAGGACCAGTGTGTGAGGGAACCCTTGCTTCAAGGTGCATAAGCTCATCCCTCTCCCACAGTGTAATCTGGACAGACACCAAGGCAGTGGGAACACCCCAGCACCATGGGCTCATCCACATCAGAGCCCCATCCTGATGGGCAGGGACCCAGCATCACAGCTGGTCCCAGTGCCACTGCCAAGGCTCCCATCCCAAGTGGCTCAGAACGTGCTCAGGGCCTCTCGTGTCCTGGCTGAGAGTGTTAAAGGGGCCTCCTGGAGACAGGCTCCTGAATCCCCTGTGACGTGAGCCTCAGCCACTCAAGATGCCTCTGAAGACCCTCACCTACTCCCAGGAAGCCAGAACCACTGCCCTGAAAGCTTTCAACAGCACCTCCCAGCAGCATGATGCTGGGCCCCAAAAGCTGTTCACCGAGTCCGTAGGCACCCCGACATGAGCTCCCCTTCTCAGGCAGGAGACAAATGATAAATTCTGATGCCTACAGATACTCACAGTTCAGCAGGGGCTGTAAATATGAAATATCAGACAGCAGGAAACTGCTTTTTGGTGGCACCAAGTACTTCTGTCCCATCAGCTCAACAATCTTTGCCCAGCTTGATGAGTTTTCTGTAACGCACGAAAGCAGGTCCTGCTCTGGAGCAGAGGTCTCCTCATCTAGCACGTGCACAGCTGGGCAGTGGCTGTCCCTCACAGCTGGAAACTGCTTTGCCATGTCACACAGCTCAGCCAGGCCGCAGCCAGCGTGGCCAGGAGCCACTCTGCCCCTGCAGCTCTGCTCGGCGGGGCGCTGGAGGAAACCGCTGCGCAGCCCCGCCTGCACCAGGCACGACGTGCCCTCCCGAATGAGCCTCCTCACCTGCACAGCCACAGAGGAACAAGGGAACAGCAGATGAGCTCTCACAGGTACCCCTGGCAGAGCTCCCTGCAGCACACCCTTCTGCCCAGACTCACCTTTGAGTGGTACTCCAAGGCGTCCAGCTCACCCTGGTTGAACACACGTTTCCTCTTGCGCTTCTGCACGGGGAGCAAGCAACAAAAACACAAAACCCCCTTTACTCCATGGTGAAAGGAAAAAAGCACCTGGATCACAAATGAACTCTTCTAAAAGCAGAAGAAACTTGGCCTCTCTTCCTCCTTCTACTACAACTGTAAGCCTACCAAGCAAAAAGACAACATTAAAGTCTTGAGGGCACTGGGACCTGACTGGCACACCCCACAGCTCCTGCTCGTGGCTCCTCGTGCCAGGCAAGAAGATACCTGCTCAGCTGCCTGCTGCAGCTACAACAGAGGGAGATTAACTGAGCCCTCACAATTACACCCCTTGGCTTAGACCTGGGACTTTCATCTGGTCCTCAAGGAACAGCACTGAGCAACTCATGTACTGACAGTAAATTCATGCTGTCCTTCCCTCCTGGGCCATCTGCACAATCCTGGAGCTCCCACAGCTCCAGGGCCTGACCAATGCCAGATGGTTTTACGAGCAACCTCTTGCTTTTGAGTCACACGGTGCACGTTACTGACACAGGAGACACAAGAGCATGCTCACAAGTCCCTGTATCTTTGGGGCATCTAGAAGTCTATTGCAGAAAAGTTCCCAGTCTCCCACATAACCTCTGGGAACTGGGATGTGCAAGGCGACATTAGGGGCATGCTACTAACGAGGGGGCTGCGTGGGTTCGCTGTTATGGAGAACGTACCTTCCTGACA